ATCACGTAAAGTTAGTAAGTGACCCAGCTGCAGAAATCAGAGGAAAAGGAACTGTTTTAATTAAATCTAACATGCTGGGCAAATTTTGTGACGTGAAGGTACTTGTGTTGCATGTTCCCCAAATGCGACAGAACCTGTTATCGTTTACCAAAATAACAGATAAGGGATACCAGGTGTTATTCGACAAGTACCAAGCCAAAATGATCAATGGGCAGGGAGTCAGGGACAAACCAAAATAATTGCATATCGAATTATCTGTGTTACGTGAAAAGCGAACCAACCGAAAGATGTCAAAATGGAATTTCTGTTACAAAAACAGGAAACCGAAAGAAAGAATAGTTTTCGAGTCTGGCACAGAAACCTGGGACACGTCAATTTCCGCGATCTTCGAGAAACGAAGAAGTTGGACCTTTACATGCTGACGTATGTGGTCCAATGAAAGTTCATTTTATTGGCGGATCTACGTATTTAATTATATCTGTAGATGATTACTCCAGAGGGATTGAAATACGATTCCTGAAAAACAAAAGTCGGTTCCGATCTTTCGTTAATAGTTATCGGACAGCTTCTTCACAGCGGTTGCTACTCAATAAATTACATGGCTTCCTGCTACGAATGCAGATCCCAACGTTTAAATCCTAATGCGGTAGAGTATAATAATAACCTCTTCCGAAGAATCCTTTTGGAAAAAGAACCGCCACAAATAAACCTCACATGTAACATCGAAACAACCCAACACAAATTCCGAATAATCCTTAACTTCAGGAAGAAACGGATGACTCCAGCCACTGCTGTAGAAAAAAAGTCTCTCCGTCAAACGACATCCAGACAATCCCCAACCTGTGTGCTGCAAACCAACCAGACGGATGTCCCGGTTTTTAACCAATTTCACATTACACAACAACTTTCAAGTGCCAACTAAATTACAAAATCGTCGTCAAAAAAAGTCCAAAATAAATAAATCTTGCCGCTATCGTTCTACATGAAGATCTCGAATCGTGCAAATTCCGAAACCTCACGGAGACAAGCAAACCAATAATCATACTACGGGTCAAAATCCCTACCACACCTTACAATCGCATCCAACCGTTAACACAGTTTATAATTCCAAATAGTTAAATATCTTCATACAACAAAACTAATCTGAAATAAACAACATGAATGTATTCTTCGTAACAAGAAAAATAACTTAGATAAGATCGAAGTGTCGGTTATCGAAAGGGGTCTCGTAAGGTATGTTTAAGCAATTCAGAATAGCAATATTCTTCCAAGAGGATATCGTTAATACTTGCGATTAAAATTTAGGAGTAAGGCGTCTTCAGGTGTAAATAATTTGTATGTGGGTCAGGGGTAATGCAATCACGCGATGTCTTCTCAAAAGATGGCGCTCAAGTAATTTTCCAAAGGGTGATGCAACCCAAATTGCGCGTAGATCGGTATTTCACAAAAGGCCAAGAAAGATCACGAGAGAGGGAAAAATACAGAAAGCTACATTCGGGTGACCTCTAGTGGGAGAATAAGAAAAACTACGAAGTGAGAACTTTACCAACAAAGCTAAGACACATTAAAGTAAGCTTCCTATTACGATATACATTAATAAGTCACAACTATATTTAGCTCATACTTTAGTAAGATTTTTGCGTGGTTGCCATTGAACTTCGCTGTTCAGAGACATCTTGAACTGTGTCAGTTGATTTAAAAGGCCTCGCATTTGACCATTGCACAAAGTAATGAATAATGTTCTTCCCATCCGCATAAACAAATTCACGTTGTATTTTAATTAGACCGAGAACACCAAATATTGGTGGAATTCAGGAACACATAATAAAAATTTCGTTTCTGAGTTTTCGGTTTTCGAGTTCCACCACAGACGCGAAGTTATGCAATGAATGCCACTCGTATCGCTAACGGGGAAGTCCAAAATGAAGTTACAGTATAAATTCACACAATTGTCCGCACATTATCACGATAATAACAGAGCATCGTAAAGCATAAACGTAATGCCTTTGTAGTATATAAAGGAGGCTATAATTTCAATACATCACAAGCAATTCTTGCATTAAATTATAAATATAATAATTACGGAGAATAAAACTTCCCGCTTAAAAGGATGGATAATAATGGAAGCCTAGTACGTATTGGGCAATGCTTGATTAATACGTTTCCTTTATCTGGATGGAATTCTGTTCATATGGAAACTATTTATAAATTACGTCACGCTACAGTCCCCTTTAACTATCAGTTGCTATCCTTAGCTTGTAGACTTTCGCCATACATAAGGATATCCCAAGGGACATGTAACAGCTATTACCTTGAAAATTAAGCATCGTAGCACGTTATACACAGGAGTAAAACTGTTTTAGTTTATACTCGCTGATGGATTACGTGCACATTTTTTTCTTAATTACGTAAACTACTATTTTGTAATTAATAGTACCCTTGGCTGAAATTTTGCAAGCATATAATGAGGGTTATTGTGATACGATGATGAATTCCGGAATCAGTCATAATAGCGAATAGGAAAGTCAAATACGGTATTTTACCTACAATTTGAATAGATAACGAAGTGCGTAATAATTAATTTGTGATTGTAGTGCACAACGACATATTTGATATTATAATACAACATGCTCGCTAATTTAATACTAAACTTCGTATTTGAAGAATTTATCAAACTCGTTAAGAAAACACTATCGAAACGTCCGTTACTCAACTGCGAAACATGTCAATGTTTTTGAAGTATAAAATATTACTACTATACATAATTTCGGTTAATTTTTTTCCAAAAGAACAATATTTGTGTCTTAAGAACCAAATAAAGTTTATTAATGGAAATAATTTCCGTCGCTAGCCACTACTTTGGCCCTTGAAATTTTCTGGTTTTCTTTAAAGCATGATACTAATTCTTTAATTGTGCAACTTTTCCCTAATTTGACCACCGGTTTCCGAGATCCCCATAATAGACATTGTAACAATACGGTGAATTGCTTTGACAATTTATAAAGATATTCCCAATTTCGTATATCAATTTTATTGTAATTGGTTTATAATCTGATCACAACCTGATAAATACAAATATAAATTCTTATCTTTAAACAATTTGGTCCTTACCTGATACCAGCACAATCTAAATTAAAATTAAATTACAACTGCCTAATGGCTATCAAATTTGTTTTCAGACTCTATTCAACAACAACGGTTCGCATGACAATATACATGCAATTGTTTTCATGCAACTATAAATTATTTCTTAAATTAAATATTTGTTTCCCTACATCAACGCCCCCCAATTTCATAATTCGAGCTTAATTTTGATCAGGCTTATGAAATTTCTTTAAATGACTAGCATGAAATAACACCCCCGTTCAACATTATTTTCGGGATCAACTAAAATATAAGTTGCATAACTGACCATTTTTTTAATTTTGAAAGGTCCCTCAAATAACAGTAAAAATTTTTTTGTTTCAGACTATATAATAATAATAATAATTTCTTCAAATTCAGCAATTTTCCCATTGTGTATGTTGGTCTGAACAATATGCCCTACAAAGCTGACCTATTTCTTTCATAACCCTTTCAGCTGGGTTAAGACTGCGGATGTCGTATCGAAGAGTATAAAATTTTTATATCAAAAACTATCAAGGTTAAACTCCACTTTTCCGAAGTAAACTGCGTTCCGTGATCGCTCAAAATCGCTTTTGGAATCCCACAGTGAACAAAATAATCTTTCGTTTTCGTTTCGTTGCTTTCTTTATCGCATAAAATTTTACAAATTTTGTAAAAACATCCAGAATAACTAAAATGTATGTTACTCTACCTCTACCGGCAAGTAATGGACCGTACAAATTGCCTTGGTTGTTTGACATAATTGACAACCTCGAATGTATTTCTTAGTCTCTCGAGACGTATTAGTCCACCATACCGCGTTTTTTAATGCCCTCCATGTTTTTAAGATCCGAAATGACCCAAAGCTTCATGAAACTCTTGTATTGTTTTTTGTATCAACGATTTTGGTATACATAACAAATAGTGTTCTTCATCATTAGGTCGAATAAAAAGAACGTTATTGTATAATTGAAACCTTTCCGCCAAATTTGTATCATCTGGTATTTCGCGTAACAATTGAGTTACAAGGGGTTTAGACCTTTCATTAGAGTACCATGAAGGATAAAACCAGTTCCACCCCCCTCCTCCCAACCCCCTCTTTTGACAAGGGGTCAGGTAAAAGGGTAGGTAGTTGGTAGAAAACGCTTCCTTTCGTTAAGACCTTTAATTAGAATACCATGAAACATTAAATAAGTGGTTATAGTCTGAGTGTCTGCCGTCATAAAGTCCTATTTATTAATACCCTTCTGTAACTTCTTGTATCGCTTCATTATGGCGAGTCTACCACTTTTTCTATCTATGAAATTTTTCGTACTCGGGGCGTTTCTCCTCCATTTTTTTTGAAAATACTAAATTTGGTATTGTAAAAAATTTATAGATACTGTTTTTCTAAAAAAATTAATCGTAAGAGAACCTTGTAAAACCCCATAATTCTCAAGAAATGTTGCTAATATCAGCTGGATATCTATAAATTTTTTCGAGTAATTATTTTTGCACGTTTCACTCGGTAGACACCCCTAACGCTCCAACATTTTTGTCCGACAATTGTTTTTTCAGGAGTTTTACAATGTTCCGTTTCGATTAAACTTATTAGAAACACAGTATCTATAAATTTTTTACGATACAAAATTTAGTATTTTCGAAAAGAAATGGAGGAGAAACGCCGCGAGTACGAAAAATTTCATAGATAGAAAAAGTGGTAGACTCGCCATAATGAAGCGATACAAGAAGTTACAGGAGGGTATTAATAAATAGCACTTTATGTCAGCAGGCACTCAGACTATTACCTATTGTTGTGAGGTTGTTTTTTTTTTTTTTTTTTTTTTTTTTAATTAGGGTTCGACTGCTATGGTCATATCCCCTTTCAGCACAAACCATCTCTCACACTCTCCGCCCTATATATCTTTATACATATTTATTTGCTTCATAAAAGCTAACGTGCCTCTGCAGTTGTCTAGATTAAAGTTTTCAGAATAATTTGCCCTTATCTTATGTGTCGCGCGTTCCAAAACGTATAATGGACAGTTTCCCATTAAGTGAGCAATCGTGAGGGTTGTTCTACACCGGTCGCACTGTCGTGGATGCTCACGTTTATATATATGCTTATGCGTGATACCAGTATGTCCAATTCGTAGTCGGTGCATCTTCACATTTATTTCTCTGTCCCCGTCGCGCACCGTGTACAGTTTACCAACGTTCGGCTTTATTTGCATTAGGTGAGTATTACACCTTTCCCATCTCTGTTGCCATTCCAGTACGCTCTTTTCTTTCAGATACTTTTTCGCATCTGTAGCCATAACAAAGTTGACGTCCACACGATCTTTACATATCGCCGTTCGAGCAGCACGATCCGCCTGTTCATTTCCAGGAATTCCGACGTGACCTGGTACCCACATGAAAACTATTTCAATGCGTTCGAGTATGGGGTTCAAGGCAGATTGACACCTTCTAGTCATAACGTCATCAGAAAATATTTGCGACAGATTATTGATAACGCTCAGGCAATCGGTGACAATTAAAAATTTCCCTTCAACAACCATGGAACAATACATAATCGCCTGCCACAGCGCATATTGCTCAGCAAAAAGTATGGAAGAGAACCGACATAGTTTCCATTCATGTGGTATACCATCGATGACGATTGCGCTCCCAGCACCACGTTCAGTTTTCCCCCATCCGTGTATATGATCTCATGTGCAGGATACTGGTTACAAATGCTTTGGAACTCCCGTAGGTAAGTATCATTGTCAGTAGTTTCCTTTTTAAGCCTTACCAGGTCTTTCCTTACTCTAATGATGGGCATCGTCCATGGTTCAAATTCTAGCATATTTTCTTCTAGCAGTATAGGCAGAGTTATATTCCGCCATTCAAGATGTTCGCAAAACCGCACATAAGAAGGGCGCGTGATGGTCGGACGTGTGCGATATAGGTCCAAGTCAACGTTAAACAGCACATTATTTGGATGATCCGGTAATGACTTGATCTTTATGATATAGTTAGCCATTAACTGCTTTCTCCTAATGTCTAGGGGAGGAACTCCCGATTCACAATACAGACTGTCCACTGGACTTGTAGGAAACGCCCCTATGCAGTATCTTATGGCAGCGTTGTGCACACAGTCTAGCGTTGCAAGCAGCGATTTTCGTGCGGACGAATACGCCACGCACCCATAGTCAATTTGGGACAGTATCAATGCCCTATAGATCGTGATGAGACATTTTACTTCCGCTCCCCATTTAGTATGTGCCAATACTTTTAACACATCGAGACGCCTGATACACTTCGTTTTTAATTGTTCGATGTGTGAGATCCATCTCAGTGCTTTGTCAAACGTAAGCCCCAAGAATTTGGCAGTTTCAGTACATCGGATAGGATTGTCGTCCAGGTAAAGTAGCGGATCATAGTGCGGAGTTCGTAGTCTGCAGAAGTGCACACATTGGGTTTTCTCCCGTGAAAAGGTCATTCCAATGTTTGCTCCATTCCCAACAATTCGATTGATGGCCGGTTGCAGTTTACGACTAATTTGACCGATTGTTTTTCCAGAGAAAAAAATGGCTATATCATCCACATACATACATCTACTGACAGACTCGGTTACATTTATAGTAATATCGTTGATGGCCATTGCAAACAGCGTGCAGCTAAGGGTGGACCCTTGAGGTACTCCATTTTCCTGGATCTTAAGTTCAGAGAACTTATCTTGGACCTTCACACGAAAACGCCGGGCAGATAGAAAGGATTTTATTAAAAGCGGTAGGTTGCCTCTTAAATTTAGGTTATGGATTTTTTCAAGAATACCATGTCTCCAGGTCATATCGTATACACCCTTGATGTCAAAAAAGATGGCAACTAAGTGTTCCCTTTTACGAAAAGCTTCCTGTATAGCTTGTTCCAATAGGAGAAGGTGATCGGTGGTGGATCGATTTTTCCTAAAACCAGCCTGACACGGTACATACAGGTTGTTTTTTTCAAGGTACCATTGCAGCCTATTATTAATTATTATTTCAAATAATTTTCCCATACAGCACGTAAGGCTTATTGGACGATAGCTGGCAGGATCTAAAGGAGTTTTTCCAGGTTTACGGACCGGTATAACCACCGCCTCCTTCCATTCATCCGGGTAAGTACCTTCATCCCATAGCTGATTATATAACTGTAGTAGAGCTCTTGTCATTTCAGGTGTGAGATTAATGAGCATTTCATTGGAGATGCAATCGCGCCCGGGTGCTGTTTTTTTTTTTGCAATGTCGAAGCGCAAACTCCATTTCTTTTAATATAAATGGTGCATTATATTCTAGGTGACGTGCTGTAGCAAAACATAAATCGGTTTCCCTTTCATTTTTTTTTGTTCTGAATTCTATTTTATGGTTATGAATTAGGACCTAATGCGTCTGTTCCCTCCTGGCCCCGGGTGATTTTTAAAACTCCTGATACCGCGTGTGGTGAATGCTCAGCCCAACTTTTTTTTTAATTTTCTGATTCAAAATCAAAAAAAGAGCACCGTGAACGGACTATTGTTAGTTGGCAATATTTGATCCAGTATAGCTCATTTGGGCCGTTTAGGAAACAACAAAATTTAAAAAGGTTATTACTAAAAAATCAGTATTTACATTATGTAGGTACAACTAAATTTAACATTTCATACACACTTTAATGGTCTTACTATGTTTTGGACACACAAAATTCTTGCATACGTTGCATTTTGATTGTTTTTATTGTCTTTAGACTTATTGCATGCATGACACCGACCTCTTTTTCGCGATGTTCCGAAGATAGCAATGTAACACTTCTATTTCATTTTGGCGCATAAGACACCATGGTAACCTCAGGTTGAAAAGCAAAAATCGAAGAATGAACGGGGCGATTCCGATGGGGCAAGAATTCTGCCGGGATGAAGGCTTTATTTTTCTTCAGAGTTCGGCATATTGTGAGTTTCCGGTTGAGCAACTCTTCAGCCAGCTCTAAAGAGGTAAAAAAGTTGTGTGTAATGACGCCATATTCAGGACCCAAGCAGGAAACCAAATCTAAAACTACTCTCTTGCCTTGGTTCTGTTCTGGGACATTTCCTACCTTTCACAAATAAATTTGCAAATTTTTACAATACGAAGTCTCTGAGTCAGCAAGAATCCAAATTTTTACACCAGACTTGGCAGGCTTACTCTCCACATAGACCCTAAAAGGACATCTACCCCAAAACGGCACCAGTTGCTCGTCCACTGTCAAGTGTGATCCTGGATTCCAATATTTTTGACAGTTCCGTGTAAAAATTTCAGTAACATTTTGTAAAGGTGCAAGTTTATTCGTTGCTCTCCTCTGAAGTTTTGTGTCTCTATCGTCGAACCTCATCCAAGTGGAAATTTGCGAAAACCTGGTTCGAGGCATTGTTGACGAAAAAATTAGACGATGGAAACATGGGTCATTCTGCCACAACATTCGAATCGGCTCACGATTGCGCTTTAGTGCTCCAGCACATATCAATAACCCAACAAAGGCGTATATTTCAGTTTCATCGACGTCCTCCCAGATCCGACCACTTTCGCCTTCATTACAGTTTGCAGTTTCGAAGGTGCCGTCATCTTTAGCAATAAACTTGTCCTGAACGTCTTCGTCTTCGGACTCCACTGCAATTTCATCGTCGTCTTCCTCTAAGATTTCTAAATTATCCTCAGTTTCTGAAGATTCATCAAGCACCGCCGAATCCAAATCAGGATCCACACAGTGGCCGAATTCCTTATCTATGAACAATTGAAATAGAAATATTAGGATATAACTCCACACTATTATATAGAACAATATTTACTCACCAGAACCATGAGCAGGTGGAACCATTTGAACTATCATTCTGGTTCGAGATGAAACTTGATTTGTCATCATTCAGACGCAATTGAAACAGATCGCTAGCTACACAAGATTTGCACTAACAATGCAAGATGCAAGAGTAATGCAAATTCAAATAGCGTACTTGTATTTATACCCCTTCAAGAACTTTTATCTTGTTTTCGCACATTTTGGTAAGCCTAATGATAGCTCATTATCCCATTCTGTAGTGAATAGTATCATAAGATTTTGTAAACAATAGGTATAATAATAATAATAATAATAATATTTATTGACGGCCAAGCCAATTTATACATACATTATTAACAATTAACAATAGTATTTTAATAAGTATTAATAACAAGATATAGATATTAATAAATAATACAATAAAAAATTACACAATAATAATGATATAAATAACACAATAATAAATTACAAAATAGCAATGAAAAACCAACAATTAGTAACTATAATTTGTATATCTTAGATTAGAATAATTTATGACTATAATATATTTAGTTTATATTTATAATAGAAATTTAGATTTTAAGGTAGGCGTGATGCATTTGGTATTTAAAAAAAAGATATCTGTCACTGTATCTATTACATAGGGTTTTTTTAATGAATAGTTATTATTTACTACATCTGCTTTGAAAATGGTCCTTGTTCCTTTTGTTGGTAATGAAAACTCAATTAAACATAGTAAATTTGGACACTTAATTTTTCCACCACATAATTTTGCTGCAAATAAAATATCTGATATTGTTCTTCGATCCTCTAGTGATAAAATTGAGTATGTCGAATATTAATTGAATATGAGTTTGGCACAGTTCTAAACAATTCTAGACAAATTCTACAATATGCTGATAGCGTACAACAAAATTCTACAGTGACTTTCCCCTCGGGGTAAAGCACTTCAAACTTTGTATATATTAAAATTCCAAAAGATTTTCTAAAAAATTCTAGAACATTTTAAAAATTGTATAAAATAACCGCTAACTGCACTAGTGTACAGGGTGGGGCAAAACAACTTGGTTATTTCAGTTGACAGTACTAAAGCGCCGACTGTTGGCACTGCTGTTATAAGGTTGGCAGTAACATCGTTCATTAACGTCCCTTGGTGTGCGATATCGCGGGTTGGAATACTTGGTCCATGTTTTTTTGAAGAGAGCACCTAAGCAGTCACTGTGCTGCAGACCGATTCTTGCAAGCACTTGAAGAAATGGGTGTGGGAAAGAAAAGTGTGGTTCCAGCAGGACGGGCACACAGCCCAGGAATTTCAATTACTCTTTTGCGGCAACACTTTCCTGGACGGCTCATCTCTTCGAGAGGCGATCCACATTGGCCGGCGCGGTTGCCTGATTTAACCCCCTGGGACTACTTTCTGTGGGGTTATATTAAGTCACTGGTCTACAACGGTCGTCCATGGACCCTAAATGAATCGAAGTTGAGTAACCTAATCAGCAAGTTGCTCTGCCCCACGCTGTACATATTTTAAACGCCTATAATTTGGTGCACCGTTAACGATCAAGTTGCAAATTTTGAAAATTTAAAATTTACGCACGTCAGTTTAAATATTTTCTCTTGTGTGTACATATGGAGAGGCAGATAAGGTTTACATAATGCAAAGCTCCGTCGGTCGTCGCTATTTATGCGTCTGGCCGTAAGCGACGCCGGTTAGTTAGTAACTGAGAACGTCACTAACGACGCGTATACAATCGCGTTTTTCGCGTAAATAATATCGAAAATTTTCTTTGCATTTTCAAGTTGAATAGGAGACGTCGGGAGTCTTGGTACAATCGGTAATTGTCTACGGCTACGGTATCAGGGTATAACGCTGCCGGTGGTGTAATGTTTTTGCGTGTAAATCAAAGTTTTCAAGTGTTGCTTCTTAGTTCTTGCTTTAATTTTGGCGAACTGTTGCTGAAGTGAACATGTTCCTTGGATTTATTGCACCATTTGATTTAATGCTTAATGAGGTTATTACATCCAAAGTTGTATTTAACGAACGAGAAGATTAATTCACGCCGCTTTTTTTTTAAGTTGTATAAATCTTGATTTTTAGCAGTTTTCGCGTGTATGTACTGATTACCTAATAGGATTAATTGTCGCGTGAAGAATATAAATAATAAACGGTAAAAAGGGGAAGTACAGTAGTTGCACATATCTAATTAGTAAAGTTTGTTTCCATACGAACATGCACATTTAATAAACTGCATCTCTCGAGATTCTGCAAAAACAATTTTAATTTCACAACTCGTTGCCCTGATATAAGTCAGTGCACAGTCGTATAGCTGCCATAAACAAGGGCGGCGAAAAATACAACGGTCAGCATATAAATCTTGCTAGAGCTAAAATCAAACATTGTGCGAAAATTCTGATTTACGTTGTAAAATTTCTAATTTGATTTTGCCCTTTTGAAAATCGAGCGTCGTACCATTTGGTTCTAGCGAGGGCAATTAACACTTGCATATTACATTAGATGTAAAAGTTAGACGACCTAAAATGTTTTAATTAAATTTCGAAGTTCTGCAGTATTCATTATGGAAATTTTATATTGCCATACATTTACTAAAATTGTACAAGAATCAGTCACATGTCATATACGAAGAGATTTCACTTTAAAAAATCAGTAATTAGCACCTTCCCATGTAACCATCAATCATTTCGCGTTTACATAAGTATGCACGGCCTTCATGTTTAAATTATTCACATTTTAGAAATTTGTGTAACGCGAGGTTATAATAAATTATTTCGCCGGCACTATCGAATAATCTTATAAGGCACACAAATTTAAGCAAAATGAAATGTTTTTCGCTGCGTTTACTTCCGAACATTTACGATTTGTGTTTTTTGTCGCCCAAAATCGTGCAACAAACAAACACGCCTTGTAGCTTATGATTAATCAGAAACATGCTAAATTTTAAAATGGTAGTATTGAATAAAATAATTTGTTAAAAACGTACCCAATTCTCAACAAACCTCAAGCAAGATAGATAAACGCTAGGATAAATGTCTAAAGCGGGCTAGTTTTATCCTTCATGGTACTCTAATGAAAGGTCTCAACGAAAGGAATTAATTTCTACCAACCCTAGCCCTCCTCCTCGACCTCTGCTCGTGATCGTATATATTCCCTTATACGAAAGAGGGTACTCACAAAGGGCGATTGAGACGTCTGCAAAAAGTATATCCACTGGTGATGTCAAAACAAAAGCTATTTCGGTTTAAAAAATGCGCTTTCTCTGCACATGAGTTGTGTACAATTTATTACTTGTTTTTAAATGCTAAATCAGTTTTGTAATTTATTCAATCTAGATAAGATGGTAGAAATAAGGCGGATCTGGTCGCTTGCGATAAGAAGTTTTATTATCAGTGGAAAATTAATTAAGGCATGTGTTTTATTCCTGTTAAGAGATAACGGAGATGCAGATGTTACGAAGTTTATTCCTTGCGGATTGTTAAATCCGGTATGCTGTAATAATAAAAGATGAATTATTACTAAGGCTGCTACTACAGAAGAGTTCCGCGTTTCATCAAAGGAATTGGGGACGTTTGGCGCGTTCTATCGTTGATCT